TTCAACACAGCTTCCAACCTAAAATAGCCTGGGAAAAAGGACCTGGTAATCTACTTCTGAAAAAACGGCCCAGTGAAAACCTTATGGATAGCACCAGAACATTGTCTGATACAGTGCCAGAAGATGAGCCCCTCTGTTGGAAGGCACTAAAAATACAACTAAAGAAGAGCTGCCTCCTCAAAGTATAGTCAACCTTCATGACATGGATGACGTAAAGCTTCTCAGACCTTCATTTGCTGATGTAGCACAACTCAAAATGAGAAGAAACAACTGCAGACATCCATTAATAATCAGAATCTGGAATGTATAAGTATGAATCAAAGAAAACTGGAAGCTGTCAAAAAATGAAATGGAATACTTAAAGATCAACATCCTAGACGTTGTTGTTGTAGTTATGTGCCGTCGAGTCGGACCCGACTCATAGCAACCCCTCCTTGGGTTTCCGAGGCAGTATCACTATGGAAGTAGATTGCCCCATCTTCCTTCCGAGGAGTGGCTGGTGGGTTTGAACTGTCAGCATTCTGGTTAGCAGTCAAGTGCCTTAGCCACTATGCTACCAGAGTAGTACTGGCCATGTCTATTGGACAATCACATGGCCTACTATGCCAGGAATGACAAGTCAAAGAGAAATGGTGTTGTATTCATTGCCAAAAAGAACATCTGAAGATCTAATCTGAAAGTGGTAAGACAACATCTATACATACACCTATAAGGAAAAGCAGTTAACAAAACTATTATTCAAATTTATGCACCAAACACTAATGCCAAAAAATGAAGAAACTGAAGATTTTTTTTTTACCAAACTCTGCAGTCTGAAACTGATGAAACATGCAATCAAGATGCACTGATAATTACTAGTAATTGGACAAGTAAAGCTGTAAACAAAGGTAGATTAGTAGTTGGAAAATAAGGCCCTGATGACAGAAAGACTGGAGACTGCATAAAAGAATTTTGCAAGGCCAAAGACCTATTTATTGCAAATGTCTTTTTTCAACAACATAAGTGGGGATTATAGAAGTGGGCCTCACCAGATGAAATAAATAATCAAACTGATCATATCTGTGGAAAGAAACAATGGGGGGGAGAGTGAGCTCAATGTTATCAGTCATAACAAGACCAGGGGCCAACTGTGCAACAGACTATCAATTGTTCATATACAAGTTCAAGGTGAAGCGGAAGAAAATTTAAACAAGTTCACAAGAGCCAAAGTACAACCTTGAGTATATCCCCATGAACTCAGAGACCATATGAACAATAGATTTGATGCACTGAACACAATGATCCACCCAGACAAGTTGTGGGATGATATCAAGGACATCATACATGAAGAAAGTAAAAGATCATTAAAAAGACAGAAAAGAAAGACCAAAATAATGTCAGAAGAGACCCTAAAACTTGCTCTTGAACATACAGTAGCTAAAGTGAACAGAAGAAATGATAAACTGAAAGAGTTGAGCAGAAGATTTCAAAGGGCAGCTCAAGAAGACAAAATGAAGTATTATGATGAAATGTACGAAAACCAGAAGTTGTTGTTGTTGTTTGCCATCGAGTCGGCCCCAACTCATAGCGACCCCTCCTTGGGTTTCCGAGGCAGTACCACTACGGAAGTAGGATTGCCCAACCTTCCTTCCGAGGAGTGGCTGGTGGGTTTGAACCGCCAGCCTTCTGGTTAGGAGGCAAGTGTCATAGCCACTATGCTATCAGAGCTTCCAAGTTAGGAAACCAAAAGGGAAGATCATGCTTGGCATTTCTCAAACTGCAAGAACTGAAGAAAAAAGTCAAGCCCAAAGTTGCAATACTGAAATATTCTATTAATATAATTTAATATAATTAATATATATAATATTATATATATTATGTACATATATATGTTATATATAATTAATATATATAGTATATTTATATATGTATTATATAATTAATATAACACAATCTACTATTTACGAGGAAATTAATTTTAACATAAAACTGATTTTAAAATTTCTCCAGCCCATAAGATTCTTACTGCCAAAATATTGTATACCTGCACATGCAAATAAATATACTATAGTCCAAGGATCTTTTATTTGTAATTATAATTTCAAAAAAGTTCTGAAAAACTTAAAAATTTTTGGTAAATTATTTGGGGACAAAACATGACCTGAACTGATGTAACATTATTTATAGCCTCTATTTTTCAGTGTGAATGTTCATTGATTAAGTAATGACCAGAATGACTGGTTGGATGTAGTCTGGTGGGACACCCAAGACCATGGCCCTGGGATAACCTTTCGGCCTGGATAGGTCTCACTCCAGGGTCTGGCTCTCAACCCAACAGTAGAAAGACGTACATGCAGAACACCCAACCCAGGGCGATGCACCCACCTACTCTACAGAGACACACCCCCTGGAGCAACTGCCCATGGTACACCAGAAGGGCAGCATTCACAAGAAGAGAGCTGGACAGGCAAGAGTGCATAGTTAAGAAGGGCACAAGGGTGGGAGGTCACAGGGAAGGGCGAAGAGGAGAGTGGGTTAGGGTTGAGGATGGCATTTGGGGAGTGAAATCAAATGTACATGAACTGTTGAATGTAAAACAGTTTCTGCTCTATAAACTTGCACCCAAAGCACAATTAAAAAAAAAAAAAAGTTAGTGTGTATAATTATAGGACACTCTCTAACACCCAGATTATCTCTAAATATTACTTCCCACTAAAAGGAACCAGGGTTTCTTAAAGAAATAAATGATTCCACATCTAGAGAACAATATGTACCAAAAAACAAAAAAAGCCATCAAAGACTGATGGAGATGATACAAAAAAGACATAGAAGCCAACTTAAAGGACTTAGGAAAGCAATTTAGACATCAGAATAACTACTGACTGCAGATAATTTAAATATATCAACTAAATAAAAATTCACAAGTTCATAAAGATATTTTAAAACAATATATTCATCACACTCCACTGAAGATTACTAGGACATCAACTCGTTATTCTGAAAATTGAAAAATAAAAGGAAAAAGTTCAAGCATTTAACTAGCCTTTCCAATATAAACTGTATTTCATTCAGAATAATCCAATTGTTCAGAAGGAACAGTTCTTTACTAAAAAATTCTAGTTAATACATGAAGAAATGAGAAGATAAGTGGGAAATAATATTTCAAACCAAGCACCAATATATAAACCAGAAGGAATTATGAATCAAAGTTAAAATCAAACTTTAAAAGTTTTAAGACCATTCCTAATAGCATTGTTTTAAATAAGGAGAGGGGGAAAACTGGAAATAAGCTAAGTGTCATTTTTCAAAGTAACTATCTTTTTTAAAAATTACTTATTTATTATATTTATTGTCTGCCCTCCACTACCACCACAACATAAGCTCTAGAAGGGCAAGGACATTTCTTGTCTGTTTTGTTCACTGATATATTACAAGAGCCTAAAACTGTGCCTGGCAGAGAGCAGCATTCAACAAATACGTGCTGAATGAGTCATCCATCAACAACAGAACGAATGGTAGAGTTTCCCAATAGCACAACTGAAAATACTGATGCCCTCAGCCCTCAGGGAACTGGACTGGGACTGGTGTGGCAGAGCTCCAGAGAAAACAAAGCTGGCCACAAGAGCCTTATCCAGGTTCCAAAGCTGCTCCAATCTATTCCAGAATACATACAGTTTCATTTTCTATATACACCACAGTGCAAAAAAGATGCTTTAGTGACAAAACTACAAGGAAATAAGAGAACACTAAACAACAAAACTCAGAACAGTGGTTACATCTCCAAAGAGTCAGGGGTATGACCAGGGAAGAATATATAGGAAATTTCACTGACATTGATAATATTCTATTCTGTAAACTAGACAAAGGCTCCACAGGTGGTCATTTCATCATCATCATCATTATTATTATTATTATTATTATTATTATTATATTCTCTGTAACTTACATAAATATACAATTGCTCTTCTAACAGTATAAGTAGTCCCTGGATTTCAAACATCTAACTTTCAGATAACTATTTAATGCAAGACTTCGAACCAGTTCCACCTTGGCCAATGAAGCAAAATAGAAACAGACCAAAATTTTTATAATTTAGGTAATTCATCATGATAATCCGTACAGAAAAAATTACGGTTCAAAGTTCTGGAATGGGAGACTCAGAAGAGGTATAGTGAGTCCCTTCAGAAGCCTGATACCTGAGACTGGATTACTGACAGGACTGAGGAGAGTCATACACATTCAGAGTGGCATAGCCAGCCATCTTCAAGCAGGGCACCATCATCTTTGAAGCCTTGTTTTAATGTTTTATAAACTTGTCCTCATTTTGAAATGATTAAACCAACCTGTAAAAAAAACACTTGCTACTTCCAGATGATTTCAACTACAGTGATTTTACAGGACAGAGCAGAACTTCCAAGGCTATAAATCTTTATAGGAGCAGACTGCACATCTTTCTCCCATGGAATACCTGATAGGTTCAATCTGTCACCTTTTACATTGGCAGCTGAGCACTTTAATCACTGTACCACCAGGGCTTCTTGACCCAAACCTTACCTGAAACAAATTCTTCATTACAATAACCTTCACTTGTTGCATGTGCCACTTTTAAATCATTGAAAAGGCTTCAGCCTTTTCTTGCACTGAAGAAAGGCTAAATAAGAACTATATGCAGTTGTTCCAACTGACCTACAAATGCTTAAAGAAACAGGAACAAGTCTCATTCATAACCTGAGGACTTTCTGCAAATATTTCTTACCAAACGCATTTTAAGAAAAAATAAAATACTATAAGAAAATGTGGAGTAATATCCATTGAATCTCTGTTCTCTGTCATTCTAACCCTTTCTCTTGAATTATCTTCTAGATCCCAGCTTAAATAAATACATTCACTATATATATATATATATATATATATGAATATGCTTTTTATATATTTATTATAAATAATATATATTTTTAACGAGTTTGTCCCAGATCCTCCAAAACTGGCACAGGTATGGGCTCTACACATTCCTTACTTACCTCTCCTGTATAACACTGGATCATACCTGTCAGGTTAGTTTCTATTTTACCATTAGACTTGTAAGCTTTCTAAAAATGAGGCTATATCCACAGTACCAAGGTCATGCTGACACAAATTAAACGTTCAATCTGTATTTCTGAATGAATAGTGTTATGGATTGAATTGTATCCCCAAAAAATATGTGTCAATGTGGGTAAGCCATAATTGTGCGGTTGTCCTCTATTTTGTGATCTGATGTAATTACCCTCCATTTTATGATGTGTGGTAAATCCTAACCTCAATATGTTAATGGGCCAGGATTAGTGGGGGGTTATCTTGCTTCAGTCACACCTTTTATCTTATAAGAGATAAAAGGAAAGAGAAGCAAGCAGAGCAGGAAGGACCTCACTACCACCAAGAGAGAACAGCTGGAGTAGAGCATGTCATTTGGACCCAGGGTCCCTGTGCTAAGAACCCCCTAGAATCTTTCCCAGAGGAAGACTGATGTCAAATTACATGGAAATCTCCAAGGAACACTGGGACCACAGATATAGCAAAGAGACAAAGACTTTCCCCCAGAGGCAAGAGAGAAAGAAAGCCTTCCCCTAGAGCTAGCAACCTGAATTTGGACTTCTAAACTATGAGAGAATAAATTTCTGTTTGTACTTGTGGCATTTCTTTTACAGCAGCACTAGATAAGTAAGACAGCAGATAACTGTAGATTCCTTTTTACTTTTTTGTTCTAACTAAAGCTCGGCTCTCACCTCAGAACACTGCCACCTATATAGGCTCATTTCATATGTTTCAAAAGCTCAATATTGCAAAAATATTGCAAAAATTACACACAGTAAAATATTGCAAAAATATACACACAGTAAAAAAATAAATACTCTAAAATGTTAAAAGTGGATCTCTCTCTAAACGATTAAAGGTGATTATAATTTTCCTGCAATTTGACACTGTTTTAGATGTTAACAGCACTGTGTTTAAAAAAAAAAAAAACCTTTATTTTACAAGTGAGAGGATGCATAGTTCAATGATTTAAAGCCTGAACTCTGGAGTCAAACATGCCTTGATTTAAATCCTGGCTTCCTAACCAAATAAACTAACACAAGTTATTCTGTAAGCCACAGTTTCCCTATCTGTAAAATGGAGGTCATGATAATTCAAAAAATAACTGGTTCTTGAGAAAGGCCACTGGTGTGAATCCACTTCAAATATGGACCAAAATGTATATAAGGCAGAGGCAGGATATAGGAGCTACTAGGGCTTTACCTTGACAAACATAAAAATTATGAAAATACATGTATTTTATAGTTCACAAAAGTTAGTCTATGACTGAAACAAACATTATCTGGTGATTTTTAAAAATGGGGGGTGGGGGAAGATTTTCCATACCAAAAGCTTATCAACTCACTTGCAAAAAAGTGAATGGAAACTAAATCACAAAATACAATGCTCAAAATGCTGTAAAGTAGACCTAAACATACCTATAAGTTCAGGTGGGTTTCTCTCATTAAACCGCTCACACAGACGAATAAATGTCTCAGTGTTCTCTGTTGTAGGGCATTCACCATGTCTAGTAATTGGAAAAAAATATTTTCACAAAAGAAGAGATTACAAATTCCAATAAAAGTTTCAATAGTAAAGAGTCTTAATTCATGACTTACCCTTTACACTGAAGTTTTATATATTTGATTCCTTCTTTTTCTATGTCGTTTCTGTCATAGAACCTGGAAGTATTTGTCAGGTCCACCAATAAGCCCATTTTAACCTTAAAAAAAGGGGAAGGGGTCACAGATCGAACAGTAACTGAATTTATTCCAAATAAGTTGGATATAAAGGAATACTACAGTTCAACCACAGCAGTGTCTCATTCTGTTGTATGCAGGGTCACAAGAAGTCAGGGCCAATTCAACAGCACCTAACAACAGTTTATCCACCTACACTGAGGAAGATTTTATGCTCACTCTCCTACTGAATCATTAACAGTAAAAGCACCACTCATCTAAGTCTTATCTCCGGCACTATAACTTGGCAAGAACTCAATAAATTAGATTTTTAAAATGTTAATTTAATTAACTCCCAAACTAAGGAAGGGACAGGAGCAAAAGCAAAACAGACTGCACCCCCAACATCCCAAAGATCTACCTAGCACTGAGTGCATCTGGAGTTCAAAGGGAACACTGCCCTGGTTTTCTGCATTTGCCTTTCCATCTACAATCAGGTAAGAGGTTAGAGCAAGAATGGCATCTATCTGACACACTCACCAATACAAGCATCAACCCAGAATTCCAGACAGCCACCACCAATCACTCCATATCTATTTGTCATTTCCAGACTATAACATACTAAGTCACTGGCTTAAAAGATGAGACAAGTCATTTATGCCATAAATATTTCACCTTTTCCATTTTTTTTTTTTTGTATTTCTGTATTTTTTTATTTCCTAAAAATATGAAGTATAAAGTTATATTCCTTGAAAAGTGAGGTTAAAAATGAAGAAAGACTCTTAGTATGAAGATGACAGTATAAGACAGCAATTTCTCTCTTCTCTTCCTAGATGTAAAAACAGGGTAAGTGGAGAACAAAAAAAAACCCAAATCCCATTTTTCAATGAAACCAGAGGCATATAAAATTCACACATTCAATAAAAAATGTCTAAGGGCTGCCAAATGGAATTAATGTCACTGCAAAAGCTGTGTAGGAAGGAAGAGAATAGAAACTGGCCCCAGGGCAACAGATTTTCTATTCTGGCACACACACAGGGTCACCAGGAGTCAAAAATGCCAGCAACTGGTTACTAGCTAGCAAATTACGCAGAGATAAAGGTGCAAACCAAAACCAAATCCACTGCCATCAAGTCGATTCTGACTCACAGTGACTCCCACTGGGTTTCCAAGGCAGAAAATCTTTACAGAAGTAGATTGCCCCATCTTCCTTCCACAGAGTGGCTGGTAGGTTTGAACCACCAACCTTCTGGTTAACAGTAAACACCTTAGGCACTGCACCACCAGAGCTCCTTAAAGGTGTAACAGTTGACATCAATTTATTAATCAGGCATTCACTGACTCGTGCAGACTATTCACACATTCTCCTAGATTCTGGCAATTATTACTTGGGCAGATCTATCTGGCTGCACCATCTAAGGCAAACTGCATACCCTTGCACAACAAAGGCTGGGAAGAAGAGGTATGGGAGTTATTGCTTTAGGAGGTACCAAGTTTCTGTCTAGGGTGAGGAAAAAGTTTTAGAAATAGTGGTGATGCTTGTACAATACAGTGAATGTAAACAGTGACATTGAATCATACATTTAAAATGGTTAAAATGGCAAAATTTTTTGTTATATACATTTTACCTGAACAAAATTTTTTTTACAGGTGAAGAGACTTCAACACCTCAACTTTTTTAACTTTGGGATTCTTAGTCAAGTGGATGCATTATCTATTTTGTGTGTGCATGTATGTATGTCTTTTGAAAAACTATGAATCCTTATCGATATCTCGATATCTTCGACTCTAATGTAGTACCATAGGATTTATTCTAGTCTTTCCCTTTTTATTTGTAACTTCTTTCTCCAACAGTAAGAAACCTGTCATTCACGTATTTTTTCATTTAAAATTTTTTATCAGTACCAAATTAGGTTTATGAAAAAAAAATGACCCCAATAAGTCTCTCCCCGAAATGTACTAATTACGTATGATTGTGTGTACTATGCATGGCTTCTTTTAGCCACATGTACTCAGATTTTACATAATCATAATAATTATGCTATACTTTGTTTCATTTAACATTTTACTTACACTTCCCCATATATTTAAGTTTTTTCATGGTTAGTAACTTTCTAAAGGTATAAATACCTTACTTAAACACTTGTGAGCTGTCATTCACCAACTCACCAGAACCTCTTAAAAAATCATTTATACTTTTATTTGGGAAAAACAGGACTTTTTCATTTGTTCTTTTCTATTAAATAATTTATTTTACTTTTGTTATTTTTGAGAATACACACAGCAGAAATACACCAATTCAACAATTTCCACATGTACAATTCACTGACATTGATTACATTCTTTGATTAATACAATCATTCTCATCTTCCTTTTCCAAATTGTTCCCCGTTAACATAAACTCACTGTCCCTAAGTTTTCTATCTACTCTTTCAAGTTGCTGTCATCTACTTGATTTCATATAGGTAGATCTTAAAAAAATGCAATGCTCAAGGCAGATATTTTTTAATAGTTAAACTAAACTACTATATGGTTTTAATAGTCTCTATTTTTAAAATTAAAAGATAAAAGTCATTAAAATAGAATCACATCTTAGGCAGAGTTAAATTCTAATGTGAGTATACAGAGTAAAAAAAAAATGTATATAGCTGAAATTCTCTTGTAAATTCCTTAGGTAACTGGTAAGAAACAGTACATGTGGCTATGTTTGTACATCTCATTGGAACTAATGCCATCTCTCAATAAATCTATCACAATCAGTTTTTCTTTCTGGGTCGGAGCAAAAAACATAATTTCTTCAGCTGATCACTAACTGAAATAGTTGGCTTGTGTTCAGAAATCATGTGATAAGAAAAATCTTAAAGACTAGAATCACATTCTATCTGGCAACAAAAATATATCTTCAGACTCTATCACACTTAGTCACACAAAGAACTGCAAACAGAAAAACCTGGGCAAGTCTGCTGAAAGCTAAAAGACCATGTGAAACAAAAACAAACCCTTCCAGCTAATATCCCCTTCAATCAACTAACCCTAGAGCCAATCAGAAAGCTAGTCATAGATGTAGAATGACTGCATATAACCAGTTGAAGTACCTCCTAGCGGATTCCAGACTAATATATGGATCCACAAAATGATGAGCATATATCTACAAACTATAGCTGATGTTTGAAGCCACTATGTTTATGATGACTTTTTAAGCAATAGAAGTTAACTTCATTCTGAAGTATATAATCTCTGAGAAGGAGAAATAATAATAATAATAATAATTTTTTATACTTTTCATATTTGTTATTTTTCTCTGTTGTTTCTGCATGATTGAATAACTATACTGGTTGCATAATTACTATGACCAACTTAATGACTTACTTACTCTATTGTTTTAAAAAATGGCAAAAACACTTCAACTTCACACACTACAAAACAGACAAAAACGTGAACTTCTGAAATATAACTAGCTGTCATATGTGCTCTTCTGATTTCTTCAGAGAATATGTATTGACAAAGAAAGATTTAAATACCATAATACAGCTTCTCAATGAACTAGGATTCGAATTCACGTTGTTTGTCCCTAGGTCCAAAATACAAAGAGAATGAAAAGTGATCAGCACAAAAATGTGAATTTTTAATACATGTATTAACTGTATTGTGTGATATAACTTCCCTGCCTCTGTATATATGTAAGTATGTAAGTGTGTGATGTATTTATGTACATGCATATGCCTATATATACATGTATATTACATATACATATTTATTTTTCATAATAGATAATGCCAATCCATGAAATAAAAATATTAACAGTATTTACCTAATAAGGTTATTGTGAGCTTTAATGAAGCTTTATTCTATGCCACACAAAGTTTCATTTACTCTTAAAAAGCTGGGAATATAAAATGGTATAGTCAATCTGGAAAATAGTTAAAACAGTTTCTTGTAAAATTAAATTGTTTCATATGGTTTCTATGCACTAATTGTTTTTGCAGATGAGGAAGGTGAAGCATAAAGATTATGTAACTTGCCCACAAAACTTTCACCGGCGAGCTGGGACTCAAGCCTAGGCTATCTGGCTTCTAAACCCAAGTTTTTAACATACAGCCTATAATATATTTGATTATTGATAATAAAAATAAAAGGCCATAAGTAAGCAAAAATGGAAAATAATACATGGAATATAACTCAAATAAAAGCTATGCTGAGTAAAAAGACTGGCTTGTTTGTTTGGTTTTTGAGTAAAGAGATAAGTGACAGGTCTTTAAAATCTAAGTGGCTGTTTTTCTACCCCATGACATGAGCCTTGTATGTAATGGGCACTAAAATCTGTTCAATGTAGTAATAAATCATACATGAATAGACTACCAAAGGTCTAAAATAAAATAGTAGCAACAGTAAAAAAGACCACCATTGTAGGATGAATTGTGTCCCCTAAAAAGAATTGTGTTCAAATCCTAACCCCTGGTACCTATGAATATGACCTTATTTGGAAATAGGGTCTTTGCAGATGTAATCAGTTAAAATAAGGTCATACTGGATTAGGCTCTAATCTAATAATTAGTGTCCTTATAAGAAGAGGGGAATGTGTATGCAGCCACACAGGGAAAATGCCACACAAGGGCAGAAGCAGAGACTGGAATAATGTAGCTGCAAGCCAAGGGAACACCAACAATTGCTGGCAACCACCAGAAGCTAGGAAACAGACATTTAATAGACTCTTCCTCAGAGCCTACAGAAGAAACCAATCTTGCCAACACCTTGATTCCTAACTTCTAGCCTCCAGAATTATAACAGAATAAATTCTATTGCTATAAACCACTCCTATTAGGAAATTAATACAATCAGTAATTTGTCAGAAAAATGTAAAAAATACAAAGTTTCATTTACTCTTAAAAAGCTATGTGATGGGAATATAAAATGGTAGAGTCAATCTGGAAAATAGTTAAGCAGTTTCTTGTAAAATCAAATGTATACTTACCATGTGACTCACCAATCACACTTTTGATCATTTATTTATCCCAGAAAAAAATGAAAACTTATGGTCATACAAAAATCTGTATACAAACGTTCACAGTAGCTTTATTTGAAATACCCTAAAACTAGACACAACCCAAATGTCCTTCAACAAGACAATGGTTTAACAAAATATGGTTATGTCCACACAACTGAATACTATTCAGCAATAAAAAAGGAATGAACTACTGATACACGCAACCTGGATGGATCTCAAGGGCATTATGCTTAGTGAAAAAAAATCAATCCCAAAAGGTCACATACTATATGATTCTATTTATGTAATATTCCTGAAATAACAAAACTATAAAGACGAAGAACAGAGTACCAGTTGCCAGAAGATATATGGGAGTGGGGAGAAGGCCTGACTTAAAATGGGAGGCATGAGGGAGTTCCTTTGTGGAGTTGAACAGTTAAAAACACCACTATGGATCTATAAGCTCTGGTAACGTAGTGCCTAAGGCACTTGACTGCTAACCAGAAGGCTGGCAGTTCAAACCTACCAGCCACTCCTCGGAAGGAAGGTTGGGCAATCTACTTCCATAGTGATACTGCCTCGGAAACCCAAGGAGGGGGCGCTATGAGTGGGGTCCAACTTGATGGCACATAACAACAACAATATGGATCTATATATGTGACCAAACTGCACAGAACTATACACATATACACATATATAAAAACTGGCAAAAACCAAATAAGGTCTGTAATCTACCATGTATTTACACAAAGAACGTTTGATTGTTGCAAACCATTCAACCCCCCACAAGTTTCTTACCCATGCTATGCATGTTATATGCATGTGCACATTATTTCCATGGGGCACGTTATATGAGAAAACATAGTTGTTAACAGTACCATACCAATGTCGATTTACCGATTTTAATCTTGTACTACAGTTATATAAAATGTTACCATTGGGATGAGATGGGGGAAGAGTTTACAAAACTCTGTGTACTATTTTTGCAATTTCCTATAAGTCTATTAATTCTTTGAAAACTAAAAATTTTAGGAAAAAAATTACCTGGAGAACAAAAGAGGGACACAGTATATTAAATCAGCACCAGAAAGCTTTGTTTAGTTAGTTTTGTTTCTTACCTTTAGACTCTTTAGATAATTTGAAAGCATACTGGGATGGAACCGATTTTCTTCTGCAACTTGACTATCATATCTTGGTCCTAACATTGTCTTCAGAGGTAAGAATTTTCCTAAACAACATTAAGATGGGCAACAATTTTCATTAAAGAAAATAAGCCAGGTTAAAATCTTATAATTAGCAATTCTCAAAATCAACTTTTTTAAATGTTTTAAATGGAAAAATAATCCGTAAATGCAATTGTTCGTGAAGTACTCTCAATCTAAACTATACTTTTATAAGGTACTGCCTAGGAATTTTTAAGGACAACATAAATTCTGACACTGACCATCAAAGATAACAGCAAAATAAAAATTATCAATGAATGGAATGTCTATAAAGAATCTAAACTCCAAACCACTACACTAAAATATTAAAACTTTTAAAGATACTGTACTAAAAAACTGAAAACGAAGTGAATTAAATCAATATTTTATATGTTTTTAATATGAAGTTGAAATTTGGTCCATCTTATGAACTTTGTCTTAAATCTCTGAGTTCTAGGATACAGTATAACATTGAGAGGATCCTGACCAAAATCACTGTTCCAACTACTGTCAGCGATTCCAGTATCACCAAGAAAGAATGACCTTTCTTGACCTTTTCTTTTTCTGAATCACAGTATGATTTTAGGGAAGCCACCTTTTATAATCAATTTTTAAATCACCTATTGGAACTAACTTATATTTTAAAACACAACAAAATCAGTAATAATATCTACCTAAAATAATATCTAAGTGAAGTCTTGACATCTGTCTAGAAGTATTTTTAGAGCTATGATTTAATCTAAATTTCATAAAAAGATTATTTTTTTAGTGTTTTAATTTCTACAAAACTGCAAAGTCACCAATAACCTTCACACTGTTAAACCTGATGGTCAGTTCTCAGTTCTCACCTTACTCAAACTCTCAGCAACATATGAAACAATGGATCACATTTCTCCCTCTTGAATCACTTCCTTCCCTTGGCTTCCAGGATACTATTTCCTCCTGGTGTTCCTCCTCTGGCCTCTCCTGAGTCCCCCTTACTAATTCTCCTTCTAAGCCCTCTAAATTTTGTCCCAGAGCTCAGTCTTTGGACCTCTTTTCTATCAATTTTTCCTCCTTTGATCGTCTCATCTAGTCTCCTGGCTTTAAAACCCACCAATAAGCTGATGACTCACAAATATTTATCTCTAGTCCAAACTGCTTCCTTAACTCTATACTTGCTTATCAAACTGCCTACTTGACTTAGCCTCTACATGATGTCTAACAGACATCTCAGATTTGATGTCCAAATCTGAGCTCTCAGTAATCAAACTCTTCTTACAGTCACTTCCCCTTCTCAGCTAACAACACTATTCTTCTACCAGGACAGGCCAAAAACTTTGGAGTTATCTTTGACTCCTTCCTTTCTCTCATATCCCACATGTAATCTATCAGCAAATTCTGTCAGATCTCCTATCAAAATATATCCAGAATCTTAACTACTTCTCACCAGCTCCACCATAATCTTGCCTGGATTATATTTCATTTAGTTCACTGAACAGGTATTTCATGAGCACCTACTATGTAACAAAGCAATCCTGGGTGGTACAAATGGTTAAATGCTCCCCTACTAGCTAAGGGGTTGATGATTCAAACCCACCAAGAAGTGCCTTGGAAGACAGGCCTGGGATCTCCTTCCAAAAGGTCCCAACAGAACCCAATGGAGCAGTTCTACTCTGCACACATGGGGTCCCCATGAGTCTGAATCGATTCAACAATAACTAACAACAACTATGTACCAAGCATTATTACTAAAGTATGGAATACAATGATGGAAAACATACATACACATAAAGAGACAAAAAAAAATCACTGCCTTCATTAATCTTACATTCTACTGGGAAAAACCATACCAAAAACATTGAACATAATAAATAAGTCATAATAAAAGCAAATTTCAAGTAACAAAACAAAAAAAATCATAAAAAAAGATCAGGCTTACTGGTCTGATACAGAAAGGTGAAACCTCTAGACTATGGCCCCTAGTCACCCTTCAGGCCTGGAAATGAACTCAGTCCCGTGGCCTCCAACCAAACAACAGGAGGCATGTAAGATGAATATTTGTACCAGATAGGTACATTTCTTAGAACAATCAACCATGGGAGATCAGGGGGGCAGTATTTGCACAGGGAGATAGCTCAGAGGGCAGGAATGCATAGGAAAAGACACAGGGAAAAGGTAACCAC